CCGCCTCTGCTGAGCTCAGGAGCTACCTCACTACAATGTAGCAGCTACGTTATGGGAATCCGAGAAGACTCACTTTTGAAGTGCGCAAAAACCAACAATAACCTCCCTGTTGTCGTATGCTCTTCTGATGAACGATCTGTCCCACATTGAATATCTATACCACCATAGACACGTGAACCGAGCTCCTATGCTCACGCACTTCAATGCTGGCATCCGATCCTCTAAGACCGTACACTGCACCAAGTATCTTTTCCACATATTACATTGACCAGGGCACAAGACCATTGCCCGCCCATATTGGCAATTTACTAACGCAAAAAGAATGTTTCCGTCAATGCTCCATTTGGTGGTTCCGGCGAATAAGCGGTAGTAAGTCTACAGAAATAGTAGTTATATACATGAGAAATTGTTCTAGAGTTAGCCAAGGATCCACTGTCAGTCTACGAGGTAAACAATAAAATCAACCGACAATTTACTCAACTAGAATCTCCGATTCTTCCTCGAGGTTTTGCACGTTTGTTGCTATAATACATATCACGGTCTAGCCGCAGTCTTTCCTTCTTTCCTCTCTCGACAACGCCGCTTGCGGTGGCCACCACCGTCAGTCGACTCCAACTCTCTCAAGTAGTCAACTATTTGGGGATTATCGATTTGCAATCGCCGTTTCACTTTAGCAGCATGTGATTTCTCATCCTCTTTTAGTTGTTTTTCTGTGCGATATACTGCGTTATCCCGCCAGTCCGGAATCGGCGAGGTTGACTTTGGAGTCGGGCAAAATCGACACGGAGGACCAGATGAATACCTGATAATGCTCCTATGAAACGTCCAACCAATACCTATACGTATAATCAGACAAATGTTCACTCGATCCGACTCTCGCGAGAGAAACTTTTCCCAAGGTATTGCAGTCCTCAGCAAGAGATACGACCCGTTTAATATTACTGATAGCTCCCCAAGGACCCAGGAACTCCCTGGAAATATTCGACTTTATTCCGCATCCATAAGGCCGAACTGTTGCGAAACTTGTCCTTCCATTCAACATGCCTTTTGAACGCAGTCGAGTCTCTGAGGACGCCTCGCGACAACACAACTGCTCCTCGGTCGGTCGTTGGCACCAGCGAGACATGGACTCCTGAAGCGGTGCCAGCCGTTGTGGTCGACGACACAGCGTCTTGGGCCACAGGAGCCTC